GCCGGTGCCGTGCTTCTCCCCGAAGCCTGGAGCTGCCGGCACGGAATCTGGGGGCTGGGCCCCTAGCTGCCCGCCAGCGCCCTGAGGGACTAGGGCGTCCCTCACCCTCCCACCCACAGGCTGGGCCCCTCATACCTGGCCACCTTGCAGGGGACTGAGGTCTGGCCGGGCAGGGTCTGGGAAGACACCACACCAAGCTGGGAAGCTCATGTGGTGGGGAGGAGCCTTGGGTTCCTGCAGGGCTGTGGTCCAGGTCTAGGGGCAGCCCTCCAACGGCCCCCCACCCCCCGCCAGAACAAAGGGCTCTCCTGGTCTGGGCTCCAAAACTGGCCCCTTGTCCTCCGTCCTCCCCTGAGCCCCCCAGGCCCTCATAGGCTAGGACTAGGCAGGGTCTCTTCCTATTCCAGTTCCTTGTATGGCCGAGGGTAACAGGGGGAAGATGAGGGGAGAGTGAGCCTCCTGGAAGGTGGGGGCCCTGGGTGCCCAGGAGGAACTCCAGGCCACCTCCCCCGCCACATCCTCCCGCCTCCCTGGAGCCCTGACTGCCTCCTCCTGGCTCCACAGACAGCATGATCCGCGTTGGAACCAATTACCAGGCTGTAATCCCCGAGTGCAAGCCTGGTGAGTGGCAGGGTAGGCTGCACAGGGAGGGGCACCCAGGGCTTGGCCCTGAGCCCCACCTAGGGGGAGCCCTTGGCTGGCGCCCACTGGAAGGACAGCCAGGCGGGGGTGGGTGGCCCCATGGCATGGCTAGTTTTCCTGCTCTGCCTTCCTGTCTGGGTCTCTGCCCCTCCTCCTTTCTGGGCCTCACCTCGCAGGCCCCACTGCTCGGCCGCCCTCTGGCCATGGGTCCAGGCCAGCGCCACGAGGCCGCTGAGTGTCTTCCCTCCGCCGCTGCCTTTCAGAGAGCCCCGCACGCTACAGCAACAAGGAGCTGAAGGGGATGCTCGTGTGGTCGCCCAACCACTGTGTGTCGGATGCCAAGCGTGAGTGGGTGGGAGCCTGGGTTCATGCACATCCCTGGGAACTGGGGGCTGGCGTTCATGCCAGCCTGCCCCAGAAGTGGGCTGGAGGCTGAGGTGTAGGTTCAACCCCTGCCCTGGGGCTCAGGCTTGGAGGCGGACCCCGGTGTGTGTTGGGGGGCGGGCAGGAGTAGGAGTTGTAATCCCTCATCCAAGGTCCGGCCCCACCCTCCCACAGTTGACAAGTACATTGCAATGGCCAAGGAGAAGCATGGCTACAACATTGAGCAGGTGAGCCTTGGCCCCACAGGGCTTTGGGTGGGGACCGGACAGTGCCCGGGTGGCTCAGACTGAGTTGTGCCTTCTCCCCGGCCAGGCACTGGGCATGCTCCTGTGGCATAAGCACGACGTGGAGAAGTCACTGGCCGACCTGGCCAACTTCACCCCGTTCCCCGACGAGTGGACCGTGGAGGACAAGGTGCTGTTTGAACAGGCCTTTGGCTTCCACGGCAAGTGCTTCCAGCGGATCCAGCAGATGGTAAAGCCCTCCACCCCCGCCATCGCTCCTCAGCCCCTCCTCTCTGACGCGCCTGCCCGGGGCCCACACGCGGTGGCCCCAGCCTCTGGCGTTGCCCCTCCAGCTACCCGACAAGCTGATCCCCAGCCTGGTGAAGTATTACTACTCTTGGAAGAAGACCCGGAGCCGGACCAGCGTGATGGACAGACAGGCTCGGCGGCTGGGGGGCCGAAAGGACAAAGAAGAGAGGTGGGGCCCAGGGGTGAGCCAGGGGGTAGGGGGGACCGAGCGGAGCCCCTGGGGGCCCTGCCCCTGCCTCACTCTTTCTCTCGCCCTGTGTCAGCAGCGATGAGCTCGAAGAGGGACGAGGAGCTGTGAGTGAGGGGGAGCCAGATGCCGGAGACCCCAAGAGAGAGGTGAGGCCTTAGAACTGGCCCGGCCCACTGGCCCGCCCTCTCCTTGGGCTCTGCGCCACCACCGTCCTCTCCTTTCTCCGGCAGCCTTTGCCCTCTCGGCCTCTGAATGCCCGCCCAGGCCCCGGCAAGAAGGAGGCCCAGGCCTCTCAGTATCGCCACCACCCACTGAGGACGCGGCGGCGCCCCCCCAAGGGCATGTACCTGAGCCCCGAGGGCCTCACCGCCGTGTCAGGAAGCCCAGACCTTGCCAACCTCACGCTTCGAGGCCTGGATTCCCAGCTCATCTCCCTCAAGCGTCAGGTGGGGGCCCGAGAGAAGAAGGGACGTGCAGAGGGAGCCGTCGGCAGCTGGGCATCATGACTGGGCAGCTGAGGTGTAAGGGAGACGGTGCAGGTGCCGAGCCTGCTTCTGCCCCTGCCTTGCCTCCTGGGCTGCCGGGTGATGTGGCATTCTTCTCCCACTGGTCTGTGAACAGGAGTGGAACACAGCGTCGCCCCTGCTGAGCGGCTGTGAGGGTGGAGGGAGCTAGTGGTGGGTGGCAAAGAGCTTTGTGGGAAGTGGCACTGGTGTGTGCAGAGCTAGAGCCCTGGCGAGGGCTGGTACCGACAGCCTCCCTGGCATGGAGAGCTTGATATCCCTTCACTGCCTGGCCTTCCAGGTGCAGAGCATGAAGCAGACCAATAGCAGCCTCCGCCAAGCCCTGGAGGGTGGCATTGACCCACTCCGCCCCCCTGAGGTGAGGCTGCTCTTGAGTTGGGGTGCAGGAAGGGGTCCTCTCTGGAGGGGGAGCGGAAAGGGGCGTGTTGCTTGGAGAGCGGCGCCTCCATTTTTATGTTTTTGAGTGTAAAGGAGCTATTCCTTGCTCTTCAGGCCAACACCAAGTTCAACTCCCGCTGGACCACAGATGAGCAGCTCCTGGCTGTACAAGGTGGGTGTGACTTGGAGGGAAGGGGGGTGGGGGGGTTCCCGGAATCTCTCCCCACCCTCGAAGGAGCTGGGCAGAGGGGAAGCGTCAGGAAGTAACCCGTTCTGAGGTGTTCTCTCTGCTACCCTTTGGCCCTCGCAGCCATCCGCAGGTACGGCAAAGACTTCGGGGCTATTGCAGAGGTGATTGGGAACAAGACTCTGACCCAGGTGAAGACCTTTTTTGTGAGCTACCGGCGCCGCTTCAATCTGGAGGAGGTGCTGCAGGAATGGGAGGCTGAGCAGGATGGGGCCCCTGGAGCCCCGGTCCCCATGGAGGAGGCTAGGAGAGGGGCTCCCTTGCCAGCCCCAGCCCTAGAGGAAGATGACGAGGTGAG